AGGGAATTCAGGAATGGGAGAGGGTTAAATTTTACATAGGTTGGATCTTACAGGGAAAGTGACATTTGAGCAAAGACTTGTAGGAGGCGAGAGAGTGGGCCATTTGGAGATATCCGGTGAAGAAGACTCCAGGCAGAGGGGACAGGCAGTGCCAAGGCCCTGTGGCAGGAATCTGGCTGGTGTGTTGGAGGACTGGCAAGGAATCCAGCGTGGCTGGAGCAGAGGGAGAGGGATAATGAGAGGCGACAAGGGTAATGGGGACCACATTCTGCTGGGCCTTCTAAGGGCCTCCGCTTACACACTGGGAGCCCTTGGAAGGTTTCAAGCCAAAGAGGGACATGATCTAACTCATATTTTAAAAGAATCACTCTGGGGTGCCTGGGTGGCACAGTCGGTTAAGCGTCTGACTCTTTCGATTTCAGCTCAGGTCATGATCTCAGGGTCGTGAGATCGAGCCCTGCATCAGGTTCTGCACTGGACGTGGAGCTGCTTAAGATTCTCTCTCTTCCTCTGCCCCTCCCCTCCCCTCTCTCTCCCTCTCCCTACCCCCCCCCCAAAAGAATCACTCTGGCTGCAGGAAGAAGGAGTATCATGGAGGGGCAAGGGCTGAAGCAGGGAGCTCAGTAAGGCTCTTGCAGTAGCAATTCAGGGGAGGCAGATGGTGGCTCAGACCTTGGGGGTAGGAGTGGAGGTCATGAGAAGTGGTAGGATTCTGGATATATTCTGATGGGAGAGCCAGCAGGAGTTACTGGTGGGGGCCATGAGAGAAACAGAGGAGTTGAGGCTCCAAGTTTTTGGCTGGGCTAACAAATTACCAGTAACTGAAATAGGGGAAGGCCGAGGAGGAGCAGCTTCTCTATTCTGGACATAGAAGTTTGAGATGCCGTCAGATAGCTGAGGCGAGATGTCAAGTATATGATGGATGTACAAATCTGGAGTTTTGGAGGGAGATGAGAGCTGGGAATAAAACTTGGGATACGGTTGAAAATACGTTAAAAACGTCCATCATGGGGTGCCTGGGTGGCTCAGTCGGTTAAGCGGCTGCCTTTGGCTTAGGTCATGATCCCGGAGCCCTGGGATCGAGTCCCACGTCAGGCTCTCTGCTCAGTGGGGAGTCTGCTTCTCCCTCTTCCTCTGCTCCCCACCCCCCCGGCCCTGGCTCTTGCTCGTGCTCTCTCTCTCATTTGCTCTCTCTCTCTCCAATAAAAATCTTAAAAACAAAACAAAACAAAATATGTCCATCATGCTCACAGAATGTGGGTGGGAGTCTACTCTGGGATAATCTTTCTGGAGGGCAACTTGGCAATATCTCAATATTAGTAAGTCCATACCCTTTGGCTAAGCAATTCTAATTCCACGATATTATTTTATTATCTAATTCTGTGATCTTATCCGTAGGTTACATGCAAAAACATTGTACAAGGTAAAGTTCATTAGTGGGCACCCAGTTAAATAACTTCATTTCCATACAGTGGATTGTCTTGCATCTGTTTTAAAAACAAACACACAAACAAAAGTTCTGGTCAGCAGAATAGGTCATAAAATGAGGAAGGCAGCTGAAGGGAGTCCTTTTGTCCTAAGAGGTTTGCCTGGAGGAGGCAGCTGGAGAGTGGTTCCAAAGGTGGCTCAAGCCCTTTGTTTTCTGGTGCAGGGTTTGAACCATGCCTTTGGTCAGTTAGTCAGCAGGCAAATAGAAATCGATTGCTGGAGGCAGAATCAGGGATGGATCCAGCTGATCAGGCAGAGAGGGACTGGTGGCAGAGGGAGATGGGGGGAGGGGAGAAGCAAGGCAAGAGAGGAAGAGGCAGCAGCAGGTACTACTGAAAAGCCCAGGATGACCAGGACAGAGGAGTGGCCACTGCCACTGGAGGCACTGGACGGCTGCTGGAGACCTCAGCCTGGACAGAGCAGAGGGGCTGAAGCCAGAGGGTGGGAGGGGTCACAGAAAAAGGGGAACCGTCTCCGGGGCTGGGCGGACTCCCTGTGACCTTCTCGAGGCTGTCTGGAGGCAGCTCGGAGAGGCCAAAAGTGACGGCAAGAATCCACTGTCCTGTCTTTCCCCGAGACAGGGAAGCCTCCACAGGAGCTGCTCCTAACCAACAAGACCACCCAGTTTGGGCTGGCCCACCCCTAATACTAGAGCAGTGGAGGACCCCAGACTGTTCACGTCTCTTTCCACCCACAGCTCCTTCCTGCGCCACTGGGGGTCTTGCATGTGTGTGGATAATGGGACGGACCAGCCCACTTTTCCGAGTTCTGCCCACCTCCACCTCCCACCACAGCTGTCCCCTAGTGCACACACTAGTCAGCGACTGGGGGGCGGGGGGGGGTGAAGGCTTTAAAAACAGAGGACTACACAGCACCTGTTAATGGGCTTAGGATGTTTGGGCAAATATTTCTGGGGTCCCAGGTACCTGAAGGGTGGGCACGGGGCAGGTCGCTTTGGTCTTCTCATTCTGTGGAGAGGGTGCAGCTGGGGGAGACCCAGAGCAGGGTCTGCTCTGAGGACTGGAAAGGTACTGGAAAGGACAGAAGAGGGAGCCAGGCCTATCCAAGAGAGGCGGAAGTGGCCCAGGTCAGTGGGCAAACCTCCTGGTGCTCATCTCAGGAAGTGGGTTTCAGCTGTAAGGCAAGCAGACGCACCCCAGGAGGAAAAAGCAGCTAGTTGTATCAGCGGTGAGCAGAAGCCATAGTATGCCGATGATGCCAGTCCACGTGATGTCAAGCGGCTGGCCTGGACAAGCCCGGTCCTTTCTCCCATTTCAGTGGAGATAATCCCTGCCCTGGTTGCCTACACAGGATATCTGGGAGTCATTCTGAGCTCCTCTTCTTGTCTCACTTCCATTATCCATCAGTAGGTCTTGTGACTTCTCCCTTTTACAGGTCTCCAATCAGTTCCTCCCCCCTAACCCAAGCTCCTAATCCATCTCTTCCCTAGCCTCTGCATGGATGCAGTTTCCTAATCCATCCATAGTTTTCTCATCTGTCACCCTGATACCTCTTGCCTCCCTCCGGTCTGTTCTTTCATGGCAACCAAAGTGATCTTAGTAAAACAGAGAGCTGACCATGACATGTTCAGCTGAAGACCCTTGATGGCCCTTCCAACTGCACTCAGAAGAGTTTAAATTCCCTAATGTTGCCTACAAACCTGCTTATGATCTGGCCCTCACTTCCCAGCTTCATTCCTCCTGCTCAAACTCTTAAGTTCCACTCCTGAACTTCCTTCATTTCTTCCCATATGCACTCTCTCATCCTGCTTTTATTCAATGGGTTGCCTCTGCCCAGAATGCCCTTTTTCCTCCTCTCCTGCCTTATTCCTACTCATTCTTTTTTTTTTTTCCTTCACTGTTTAAAAAGCTGGAGTGAAATTTGTATGCAGCAAAACTCATCCTTTATGGTACTGTGAGATTTGACAAATTCATACAGTTATGTAATCAACACAATAAAGAACAGTTCCCTTACCCCCCAGAAATCTCCTCAGGCTCCTTTGGAGCCAACACTAGCTTCCATGACCAGCTCTTGGCAACCACTGATCTGTGTTCTGTTTTGTTTTTGTTTAAGTTGGCTCCACGCCCAGCATGGAGCCCAACATGGGGCTTGAACTCATGATCCTGAGATCAAGACCTGAGCTGAGACCAAGAGTCCGATGCTTAATGGACTGAGCCGCCCAGGCCCCCCCAATCTGTTTACTGTCTTGCATTTTCCAGAATGTCTCCAAAATGGAATCATTATGTATATAGCCTTTTGAGAATGGTTTCTTCTACCAGCATAATGCATTTGATATTCACCTCTGCTGTTGTATGTATCAACATTCCTGTTTCCTCTTTATTGCTGAGAGCATTTGTGGTATAGATGTACCACAATTTAACCTTTAGCCAGGGCATAGGACATTGGGGTTTTTTCCAGGTTTTGGTGATGATGAATAAAGCCATCATAAACATTTGGGTACAGGGTTTTGTGTGCACATAAGTTTTCATTTCCCTTGGGAAAATACCTAGAAGCAGGTCTGCTGTATGTGTAACATTCTAAGAAACTGCCAAACCATTTTCCAGAGCTGCGATACCAGTTTGTATTCCCATGGCAACATGACAATTGGAGTTTCTCCACATCATCACCAGCACTCATTTGGTACATTTATATATTTAGTTAACTTTTTGACATTCTACTAAGTGTGTAGTGGTATCGCGCTGTGGTTTTTTTTTTTTTTATTTGAGAGAGAGAATGAGATAGAGAGAGAGCATGAGAGGGAAGAGGGTCAGAGGGAGAAGCAGACCCCCCGCTGAGCAGGAAGCCCGATGCGGGACTCGATCCCGGGACTCCAGGATCATGACCTGAGCCGAAGGCAGTCGCTTAACCAACTGAGCCACCCAGGCGCCCCTCGCGCTGTGGTTTTAATTTCCACTTCCTTGATAACTAATGATAGAGATTTAAAAAAAAATCTCTGCCTGGTCTTCACTTTGTCCAAAAAGCCACTTTTCACGCTTTCTCTGTAAAATGATTAAGTTCCTGTCCTTTGTGGTTCCCTGACAACCAACATTTATTGCCACCTTGGGCTTAACCCACTAAACTACCAAACTACCATTGTTTTCCAGTTCCCTCCCTGCTCACCACCCTGGTTTCCTGGTCTAGGTGTCTCTCTCTCTCTCTCTCTCTCACACACACACACACACACGACTGAGGGCAGAAGCAGCATCTCACTTCCTTTGCTATCTTCAGCTCCCAGCACGAACCTGAAATAGAATCTTTATACAATAAATATTAAATGAGTGAATAATTGCTTAACAAATTAGAGAACAGACGGATGAAGAGAGGTAGTTAGGAGCCAGGTTTTGCAACCAGACTGGCCTGGCTGTGCCAATGAACCATTCTCCATTGGTGCCTCACACTAAGCTCACTTTAAGAAGGGCGATGCAAAAGCGGCTCCCGCAGAGGGAGGCAAAGCGGAAAGGACGCGGCCGGAAGCGGAAGGGCGGCAAGGAGTTAGCGGCGTCTCAGTTGCCATGGAGACGGGAAGAGCCAGAGACCGACTGTCTGCAGAGTCCGGGTCCTACGCATTCCGGGGCGCGACGTGGACGCCAACCTCGCATCTGGCCGGGATCCGCAGCCCCAGCGAGTCCACCTGGCTGTCCTCCTTAACCCACTCCGAGGCCTTTCACTACGGCTTCGGGGGCCGGGCCCGCCGCGTGGGGCCCCTCACGCTCCAGCCGCTCCCCGAGCCGCAGCTGCTGAGTCTGCGCCCCACCTCGCTGCGCAGCCAAGACATCTCGCACTTGCTCACCGGCCTCTTCCGCAACTTGTACACTAACGAGGTGATCGGCGAGGACCTGAGCGCGAGCTTGATCAAGGCCCGCGGCAGCGAGGATGCGCGCCACGAGGAGTTCGTGGACGAGCTGCAGCGGGTAAGGCGGCCCCGGAGCCCCGCGCGCTCCCTGCCCTTGCTCACCGGGGACACGGTGGCGTCACGTCCGCGGACAGTGCCGGGGGGGCCCCAGGGCGCGCCCCTAGAAAGGCAGGCCCCCGCAGAACTCAGCCGCTCGACAAGTGCCAGCATCTGCTGGTTGCCAGGCACTAGGGATGCAGCTAGGAAAACGCAAAGTCCCTGCCCCAGTGTGTTCGACATCTAGTGGAAGGGCACTCTCCGCACGTTTACAGAAATACGCACATAAGGCATATGTCTGTAGCGCCTATCCGTCTTCATTTTTCTACGTGCATACACACACGAAATAATTGCATATGTAAATAAAAGGACCGGGGCAGATAGCCGAATAGTTGTTGTTTCCTGAAGATGGTAAGGCTAAAAGTCACCCCATTGGGGGTGCCTGTCTTTGTATCACAAACCACAATCGTAACCTAGGCATTCATGCCCAGATTTGAGGAAGCATGACTTGTCTCTGGGAGGCAACTGCTTCCTCATCTGTTCAAGGAGGAAGGCAGCTGACTTGGATCCTCTCTGCTGAGTCTGACGGCTGCCCACACTGCTGAGGAATCCCTTAAAGGGAGTCTCAGGTGAGGTGGGCATCTGGGTGGCACGCCTCTGTCTACCACAGGTGGTGTGCTAACTTGTGTTTGCTCTTTCAGAGTTTGGGTGGCAGCTGTGAAGGCAGGAGGCAGAGTTTCAGGCTCGGCTCTGTTCCCGAATTTACTGTGAAACCTTTAAGCCTTTTCCCTCTGTGGGTCCCAGTTTTCACATCTGTTAGGTTGGACCAGTTGGTCTCCATAGTTCTGTGATTGTTCTGTGCTTCACAGGAAGCCCGATGCTGGGGGTGGGGGTGAGTAAAGCTCTGCGATCTCAGCCTATTTCTGTGCATTTGATGGTCTACCTGCCAGATTCGGAAGGTCTATAAGCAGCGGCTGGATGAAATTGAAATGTTGGAGAGACATATCATTCAGGCCCGTGCACGAGCCCTTGCAGAGAAAGAACGGATCATGCAACTGGCCGAAGTGCATGTCCTTGATACCTTCCTCAGGATGCCTCCAGGTGTGTATAATGAACTCCCAACATGCCCTTCACCTGATTCCCCAGCCATTAATATATTACAGTGTTGGCTCCACGGACCACTCTCTAGTCTTCTTGTGAATGTTTGGAGATCAAATTACAGATGTGATGTTTCATTACCACAAAACACTCTAACATGCATGTCTCCAAAACAGGGACTCTATCCTATGTAATCAACATACAACCATACAGGCCTAGAAATCAGCATTTGTGCAACACTAACCTCCAATTCACAGATCCCATTCAGATTTCACCAGCTGTCTCACAGTGGCTCTTTCTCTTCTTTGGTCCAGGACTCTGTCTAGGAAGTCATGTTGCATGTGATTGTCAAGACCCATTTTTAGGGGTTCTTGGGTGGCTCAGTCAGTTAAGCGTCTGCCTTTGGCTCAGGTCATGATCCCGGGGTCCTGGGATCAAGACCCACATCTGGCTCCTGGCTCAGCAGGGAGCCTGCTTCTCCCTCTCCCTCTGCCTGCCACTCCCCCTACTTGTGCGTTCTCGCTATCAAATAAATAAATAAAATCTTTAAAAAAAGACCCATTTTTAGAGTCTTCGGTTTGAAAGAATTTCTTGATCTTTTCTTGTTTTTCATGTTCTTTAAAAAAATTTCTTTTCTGGGGCACCAGGGTGGCTCAGTCAATTAAGTGTCTGACTCTTGATTTTGGCTCAGGTCATGATCTCAGTGTTGTGGGATCGAGCCCCATGTTGAGCTCTGCTGGGCAAGGAGCCTGCTTGGAATTCTTCCTTCATCTCTCTCTTTCTCCCCCTCTGCCCCTCCTCTCTCTCTCAACCTCTCAAAAAAATTCTTTTTTATTTGAGTACAATTGACACACAATGTTACATTAGTTTCATGTGTACAACTTAGTGATTTGACAAGTTTATGTATTATGCTGTGCTTACCACACGTGTAGGTACCATCTGCCCATACCTCCCAATCACAATGTCATTGACCGCATTCCTTATGCTGTGCCTTTTATTCCGGTGACTTTTCATTCCATAATTGTCTTTCATATTCTTGACCGTTGTGTTTTTCTCCCCCGATTTTTTTTATTGTGCCTAAGGATGCATAAAACTTACCATCTTACCTATTTTTAAGTGGACAGTTCAATGGTATTAAGTACATGCATAATGTTGTATGAACATCACCACCCTCCATCCCCAGAACTCTTTTCATTTTGCAAAACTAAAACTCTGTACCCATTAAACAATAAGTTCCCATACCCTTACCCCAGCCCCTGGCAACCACCATTCTACTTTCTGTCTCTACAACTTATTTTTTTTTAAGATTTTATTTATTCATTTGACAGAGAGAGAGAGCAAGCAAGAGCACAGGGTGAGGCAGAGGGAGAAGCAGACTCCCTGCTGAGCAGGGAGCCCGACATGGAGCTCGATCCCAGGACCCTGAGATCATGGCCTTAGATGAAGGCAGACACTTAACGGACTAAGCCACCCAGGCGCCCCTGTCTTTACAATTTAGACTACTCAAAGTACCTCATACAAGTAGAATCATACAGTATTTGTCTTTTTGACTGGCTTATTTCATTTAGCTTAGTGTCCTCAAGGTTCACCCATGTTGTAGCCTGTGTCAGAATTTCCTTCCTTTTTAAGACAGAATAGTATTCCATTGTATGTATGTACCACATTTTGCTTATCCATTCATCCATTGATGGTCAGTTGGGTTGCTTCCACATTTTGGCTATCATGAATAATGCTGCTCTGAACAGGGTGTACAGATATCTCTTTGAGACCCTGCTTTTGATTCTTTTGGGTGTATACCCAAAAGGGGAATTGCTGGGTCATATGGTAGTTCTATTTTTAATTTTTTGAGGAGCCACCATACTGTTTCCCACAACAGCTGTATCATTTTCACATTCCCACCAAGAGTGCACGAGGATTTCCATTTCTCCACATCCTTGCCAACACTTGTTATTTTCTGTTTTTTGATAGTAGCTCTTCTAATGAGTGTGAGGTGGTATCTTATTGTAGTTTTGATTTGCATTTCCCTCCTCATTAGTGATACTGAGCATCTTTTCATGGACTTATGGCCATTTGTATATCTTTTTTGGAGAAATGTCCTTTCAAATGCATTTTTAAATCATTTTTAAGTTGTTGCCTGTGCCTTGGTGTCATATCAAGGCATATAAGAAATCACTGTCAAATCCAATGCTGTGAAACTTTTGCCCTATATTTTCTTCTAAGGATTTATTGTTTTAGGTCTTACATTTAGGTCTTTGCTTAAATTTTTTAATTGGAGTATAATTAACATACAGGGTTATATTAGCTTCAGGTGTACAATGTAATGATTCAACAATTCTATACATTACTTAGTGCTCATCATGATAAGTGTACCCCCCCTTTTCTTTTGAAATTGAGTCTGTTCTATTGGCTCTAAATAAAATTTTGTGCTTAATGGAACTAGCTTCTACAAATTCTTAAGGGATCTTAATGTACATGATGTTCCAAAATAGCCAAGACCCATGTTTTGTGTTTAGTAAAAGCAAATGGCATTGAGCACCAGTGTGAAGAAAATTCTCCATTACAAAGTTGGAAAGCCACATATGTATCCCGCCAGAGGACTAGCACCTACCTTGCCATTTGTGTCATCAAAGATAATTACACTAAAGCTGGACTCAGCCTCTCCCCACTGACTTCAATTCTTTATACATCCTTCTCCTTAACCTTGTGGCAGGTGAATTAGGCAGTGATCTCACCATGTTCTCTGAGCCATGAGGAAAGGGAGAGGAGCCGGGGGGAAGCTCAGGAAGGAACATTTGCCTCTGCACTAAAGCTTACTGCTCTGAGTTAAGTAAGCTTCATCCTTATCTTACAGATGAAACTGAAACTCCACAAGTTATGCTACCTTGTTCAAGGTCACCCGGCTAGTAAGTGGTGGGAGGTCTTTTAGTCAAAGTGGAATTTATAACTTGCAGTGGCTGATACACCATCCAAATAAAGATATAGGTTTGAGTTTTTTGGGTAGGGAAGGATATACTTAACATTAGAGTGTCTTCAGTGGTTCTAACCTTGGGGCAGTGCTGTCCTCCTAAGGGGCATGCAGAAATGTTTGGAAGCATCTTTGGTATGCCAGTAAAGGGGGTGGGTTGTGTTCCTGGCTTTTAGTACTGCATTGGTCAAGGATGCTAAGACACGCTGCAGTGGTTAAGATGGTTCCACATAACAAAATATCTACCCCAAGATGCAAATAGTTTCCTGTTGAGTAACACTATAGGTGCCTCATTAAGTTCATGAGTTAGAAGTGATGAAATTACTTTAACTCCCTTTGGCATGAAGTCAGACTGAGAGATGCAGTGACTCACAATAAGTGTACTCTTAATCCCTTTCATTTCACTCACCACCCCACCCGCCTTCCCTTTGGCAACCTTCAGTTTTTTCTCTATTTAAGAGTCTCGTTTTTTATTTGTCTTTTTTTTCTTTGTTCATTTGTTTTGTTTCTGAAATTCCACATATGAGTGAAATCAAATGCTTATTGTAGCATTATTTACAACAGCCAAGATATGGAAGCGCCCAAGTGTCCATCAATAGATGAATGAATAAAGAAGATGTGGTACGCATATGCAGTGGAATATTACTCAGCCATAAAAAAGCATGGATCTTGCCATTTGCAACAACATGGATAGACCTAGGGGGTATAATGCTAAGTGCAATAAGTCAGAAAGAGAAAGACAAAGATCTTTGACTAACTTTGATATGATGTTTTATATGGTGTTAGATAAGGGTCCAACTTCACTCTTTTGCATGAGGATATCCACTTTCCCAAGCATCTTTTGTTGAAAAGACTGTTCTTTCCTCATTGAATGGTCTTAGTATCCTTGTCAAAAATCATTTGGCCATATATGTGAGGGTTTATTTCTGGGCTTTTTATTCTATTCCATTTCTTTCTATGTCTGTCTTTATGCCAGTACCATATTATTTTGATAACCATAGCTTTGCAGTAAGTTTTTTTGGGGGGGGGGATTAAGAATTTTTTTAAGAGTTTATTTATTAGAGAGAGAGAGAGACAGAGATAGTGAGAGAAAGCACAAGCAGGGAGGAGAGGGAGAAGCAGGCTTCCCGCTGAGCAGGGAGCCCAGTGTGGGGCTCGATCCCAGGACCCTGGGATCATGACCTGAGCCAAAGGCAGACATGCTTAACCGACTGAGCGACCCAAGTGCCCCTGCAGTAAGTTTTTAAATTAGGAAGTGTTAATCCTCTGGTTTTGTTTGTTCTTTTTCAAGATTGTTTTGCCTATCGGGGATTCCTTGAGATTCCATAAGAATTTTAGAATGGGTTTTTCTATTTCTGCAAAGAACATCATTGGGATTTTGATAGGGATTGTATTCAATCTGTAGATCACTTTGGGTAGTATTGACATTTTAGTATTAAATCTTCTAATCCATGAGCATGGAATATGTTTCCATTTATTTATGTCATCTTTAATTTCTTTCAGCAATGTTTTGTACTTTGCATTGTAAAAGTCTTTCACCTTTTTAGCTAACTTTTAAGTATTTTATTCTTTTTGATGCTATTTTAAATGGAATTGTTTCCATAATTTCCTTTCCAGATCGTTCATTGTTGATAGAAATGCAACTGATTTTTGCATGTTGACTTTGTGTCCTGTTATTTTGCTGAAATTCATTTATTCTAACAGGTTTTTTTTTTTTGTGGGACTTTTAGGGTTTTCTACATATAAGATCATATCATCTGCAAACACATGAATTTACTTCTTCCTTTCCAATTTGGATTCCTTTTTCTTTTTGCCTAATTGCTCCAGTTAGAACTTCCAGCACTAAGCTGACTAGAAGTAATGAAAGCAGGCATCCTTGCCTTGTTCCTAATCTTAGAGGAAAAGCTTTCAGTCTTTTACCATCGAGTATGATGTTTGCTACTGGTTTTCTATCTGTGGCTTTTTTTTTTTTTAAAGATTTTATTTATTTATTTGACAGAGACAGAGATAGCGAGAGCAGGAACACAAGCAGGGGGAG